GGTCAGAGACAGGGAGATGGAGTAATGTTTGCTATTAAAAGTAAGATTTTTGTAAAAGAATTTGATATTTTCCGTAATGACCTTGAGGCAATCTGTGTTAAGGGTAGATTATGTAATGACAAATGCGTCTTTTTGATAAATTTTGTACCCGGTAGTTGTTTAAGTACGTACCTATCGTAAGTTTTACAATTCCATAGAGGATAATTTTTTTAGAACACGACTGTATTATTATGGGAGATTTTAACGTACGAGAACTTGTCTCGGGGGTGGTTAATGAGCACAAGTGTGAACTTAATAGTTTCATAGCGTTTGCGAATCTAGTACTAGTGTTGGATTTGGTCATTGTTAGCTCTGGTTTACAGAACTGTTAGGGTGGTCACTGATGATGATCCTTTATTCCCTGTGGACCAACATCATCCAGCATTAAGCATAATAATCGATAGAGAGTGTGAATGGACTGAGTGTGAACAAGTTCAAACAACAAAGTTTAATATTAAGAAAGCTAATTACTGTACAATACATGTACAATATGTTTCAGGATGTAGATTGGTATGAACTGTACGAATGCATTGAGAGTTTTTTATGAGAAATTAAATGAGATATTTATTGAGTGTGTTCACCTGACTACTCAAGTCGGTAGGTCATTTCCAGTGTGGTATAACTGAGAAATAATAAAATTGATAGAAAATAAGAAAACATACTTTCGAAAGTACAAAAGACATAAATTAATACATTGGTACAACGAATTTAAAAAAGTAAGAGCCTTAGTCAAAAAGAAAATCAAGAATGCATACAACAGGTACATAAGTAAGGTCAGTAATAGTAATGTTGGAGAATTTCAAATATTTTTGCACTTACGTAAAATCGCAGAAAAGGGAATCGGCTTTTCCGTCAGAGGTCTATTATAATAATATGCAGTATACAAGAGCGGAAAGTATTGCTAATGGATTTGCGGAATAGTTCGGTTCGGTGTTTTCTAGAACAGAAACACTGGATTGTAAAGAAGAAAATTGAAAGGTAATAGGGCAATAGGACCGAATGGGCTTCCAGACTTCATCCTTAAGGATTGTGTTGCCTGTTTGAACTTGCCTTCGTTATATCTGTATAATTTGAGTTATGCGTCTGAATCCTACCCTGAGGCATAGAAGACGAGCAAGAGGACTGAAACAGGAAATATCTAATTATAGACCAATTACAATACCGTGTGCAGTATCCAAACTATGTGAGATAATGTTGTTTGGCAGAATATATGATAGTGTCAAGTACAGCATTGTTGAATGCCAGCATGGATTCCTCCCAAAAAAAATCAACCATCTCTAATTTAATAAACTTTTGCCAATATATTCATGATGCTTTGAACAATAGAGGACAGGTTTATGTGATTTATACTGACATGGAAAAGGCATTCGATAAGGTTAAACATAGTGTAATTTTTTACTCACTTATTAAACTAAATGTACCTCCCAAAATCACAAACTTAATAACACCATACATGAGAGGTAGTTATGTCGAAATCATGGGAGCCAAATCCAAAATATATTCCTCCTGATGGTGTCCCACAGGGGGTCAAATCTGGGACTACTGTTATTTGTTACAGCTATCAATGACATTTGTCTCGGCCTACTGTTGTATGCTGATGATCTTAAAGTGTTTTTAAATGTGACTAGTAAGCATGAAAGTGAATGTCTGCAGAAAGATTTGAGTAGGGTTGTAGGTACTGGTGTGCGTGCAACGGTTTTAATTTTAACGTGAATAAATAATGTGCAAAAATGCCATTTACACTAAAAAAGAACCCAACGTTGTTTCAATACAGAATTAATGACTCCATTGTCAGAGGTGAAACCACTAAAAAAGACCTGGGTGTTTTGTTGGATGAGAGGCTTTACAGAACATATTGTAGGCAAAATTAATGAGGCGCACAGGACGATGGAAGTCATCATCAGAACTGCCAAGACTTTTGATTTGGGGGTCTGCCTGAGATTGTTTGACAGTCTGGTGCTGCCCAAACTGGAATATGCAAGCATTATCTGGTCACCTCTATATGAGGTCTGGAGTAAGTCATTGGTAAGAATTCAGAGGAAATTTCTGAAATATATGTTTCTTAAAAGATATGGGTACTATCCTCCACAAGGATACAGTCACTGCACCCTGCTTAAACTTTTCAATAGGCTGTCTCTAGAAAATAGAAGAAAAAAAATAAATTTGACCTATATGTACAAAATCCTCAAAAACCAAGTAGAATGCCTAGATTTCCTTGCAAAGCTACCCTTTGCAATAAATGTGGGTGGTACCCGACAGAAGAAGGTATTCTATTTAAATTTTCCTCGAACAAACTCTTATGAGGCGTCTCCTATGTATAGTATGTGTAACCTTTTTAATATTTTTGCCAGCGACCTGGACTTGGACCTGGTTAATTTAAAGGCTTTCACTAAAATAATTGATCAACGACTGCATGAGTCTCAGGAACAGGCCGACTAGTAATGGCTACATAAGTTTCATAGGTTATACTCATTTTAGATTTAAGGTTTGATTAAATTGATTATATTGTTAAGATATGTCTGTAGATGGTAATTTGCTGTAGATACTGTGGTGAAATAAATAAAGTAGCGCGAATTGCCTTTATAGCAGATATCAAGAAAAGAGACAGGAAAATGCTGATACAAAAATGGAAACCGCTTTATCCAAGAAAAGTTCAAGGATTTAAGTCCAACTAACCCACAAGAATATAACTATGCACTGTCAGATAAGGCATTATCTCTGTACCACCAATCTATAAATTTCCGACTACTGAAATTCTTATAGCTGCATCTCTGCGGTCGAATTGAACTGCCGACGTTTTAGTAACTTCCTTATTGATTCTAGAACATAGAAATGGCAAGGTGACAAAGTTGACGTTGTGAAGCTTTCAAGGTACCTCAATAGCCCTCAGTTCAACTTTGATGTTGACACTTTAACCCTCCTAATTAAGAGATACGATTGCAGTAAATTTCCTGCCAGAGATTGGAACCAACAAATACATTCGCCTGTGGAGATTATGAATGCTTATACCTTTCGACATTTGGATTCTGGTTTGTAGTGATTACGCTAATAGGTACTCCTCATGTTGTTGTTGTTGATAGCGCATCAAATGCTGGGATTATAATGCAAATCGCAAATTATTCTGCGTATCAATACACAGTGAAATCTACTGAGCAGCAACTTTGTGATGGCTAACACTAAAAATGATGGAGTGAACATTCACCATACTGAAAAAGTTCTCTAACTTTGAAGCGCCCATTTCGATGTTTCTTTGACGAAATTTATTTCATTATTGCAATTAAAGCCCACAGCCTGCTTTCTGGGCCTAGTAAAATATCACATATGGAAGAGATTCTGCGACTTCTGCAGATTATACACACAGCATAACAGCAGCATAACAATTCAGAAACAGCAGAAGATTTGTTCTGTGAATGCCCTGCTCAGTTGTGTAAGAGGCTGAAGTACCTCACACATCATAAAACCCAAGTAGCTAGCTTCTTTTAAGCTACAAATCTTGGACACCAACTAGAAACAGACTCATGCACGAAACATCTACAAAGATAGAGCAACGCTGAGCGGTTTTATCAGTTTGAAGCAAATCCCGATGCGACCTACAATCTACCATCAGCTAAGATGGATGACCATTTTTCATCCTTAAATATTGGAACGTTAAATATATTTTTTTAAAATAACTAGTATCCACTGGATAAAAGCTTTAGTGCATTGTTTGCCATAAGTAACCTTCAAAATATATTTTTTTTGAACAATACTTAAATCGCAGTAAAAATATTAAAATTAGCGAAGTTTCAATATACTCCCAAAAAAAGTTCTAAAACTTTAAATAAGTACTTTTCCAAAGTTAATTTCGAAGTTAACGACCACACAGCCCTGAAACGTATTATGGGTTTTCATTATTTGTCATCCACACGTTCTCCGTGGCTATATGTATTTAAATATTTACCTATGACCTTTCCACATGTGAAACAATAAACTTTTTTATTGCATCCATTAAATTTTATGGTAACACTTTATGTTCAATAGTCGAGGCATTTTCTGTTGGCACATTCCATCCATGGATGACTTTTATAATATGAAAACTATTAGCTCAACACTTTAATGGAGACATAAAATGTTCAAGGGTAATTCGCGCGATTATATCTAGTGTAAATTTAAAAATAGGAGAGTCGTGTTTTAGATTATGTTGTTTACTAAAATTTTTATTTCATATATAGTGTCGCACGTCACTCTTTAACTGTTTTTGAAATATTAACAGATAAGACAGCGTGTAAAATCTTAACGGTTTGCGATCAAGAAGAATAGTCTGCAAACTTTCGTTTCCTTTCATTTTTAGCCTAATTCAAGTTTAGTGTGAAAATCTAGCTTATTAAAAGTTTAGATGGGAAAGTGCAAACTATTTTGGTTAATAATCTCAAACCATTTAGGTCTTACAGGCTGTCAAAATTGCAAAATGATATCGATTTTCACTGGTCATAATATTTGAGAAACAGTAAGGTATGGCAAATTAGACATTAAAAGTGTTTCTAGATTTTACATTAGAATCCAAAATGCAATATAATATACAGGATATTATTCCATTTGGAATTCCAGTATTGCCGGTGATTTATGATAGAACTGACAACAAAAATTTTAATAAAAATATTTCAAAAAATAAACCATCTATCAAGACCGTGAACTAAATATGAAAAATGTATTTTTTTTTCAGTTCTCTTAATGTCTAATAGGCCGAGTAATTAGCCATCTACCGTGAAATTCAATCAACCAATAGTTAATGTAGCCCGCAATACACAGGTTCAATTCCGGAAATAAGTTTAGATAAAAAATCTGTACGTTTTAGAAAAATCAATTCGGTAGTTTGAACATTAGTCTTTGAATAACTTTTTTTCGATTGGATTTCTTCTGATAAAAATGCTTCTTATGGCAAATATCTAGATATTGATGAACTATTTACAAAACCCACCTACTTGAAAAATATTATTGCTGTCAGTGTTGAGTATCATCACGCATTGGTCGAAATGGTGATGTTCCATGGTACTGGTAGAGTAAAGAATGGCTAACGGCGACTCTGTCTTGGTTTGGAAGGCATTGTTAGTCCCTCTGTGATCTAGATCGTGGCAAAGGCATGCCACTAGAAGTCCTAGCATTTCCAAGTCACTCATGAACCTAAATACAGAAAGTGCTATAAACACCTTGTTGCAATGAACATAAATATAATTTATTATGGGGCACTTAATTATCATACGCGTATTGTATAAGCGGCATGTTCAAGTATAAGGCTTTGATGCCCCTTACCTTTCCATTTTCCCAGTTTTGAACATAGCAAACATTGTTTGGGCCACATTGAGAGCGTGCCTCCAGTTGTGATATTTTACGGGACGGTAATTTTTCTTCACACTTAGTACCCATCTGCATAACACCTACAATGCCATTAAGTTTTACATAAGAATCGATTTTTTATTTCTATAAAGTAGTTACCTCATAAGGAATATGAAATTGCTGGACCAAATTACATTCTAGAAACATTCGAATCGTTGCTTTACAAGTTTCCTCGTCTGATAATTCAAAATCGATGAAAGTAAAACTGGAAGTAAATGAAAATTTTGAATTAGCTGTAATTAAATATTGAATGAAACACATATCAAAATAAATACTATTTCTCTACGTCTGTAACGTCTGCCGAACTTCGCAAAAGAAATCAAATTTCCGCGGAGTCGCAGATTACTCAAGAGGCACATAACTAATGTGAGCGGTGTAAAGTTACCCTAGGACATTGTATAAAATGATGCTGCTTATGCTGGAATACGAACGAAGTTCGTCGAAAGTTGACAGTTTCTTGTCGAGATAACTTCTCGGAACATTTCATTTTCATTTTGAGGTCACACATTTACCCACCTTTTGAAGAGATAATAGTTATTTACATTATAAGCATTATCTCAGACACGAGTGGGGAATTCCACAAGAGTGTAGTAATATGCTATATCATACGAGTGTTGTGCCGTATCTGGAATACACAACTTTATATTTACGATCGTGGTTTTATTTTGGCTATAAATTCAAATCACATTCCTTTTATATGTGCGATTCTATGTCACCTTCAGAACTATTGACAATAACGGCAAAAAGGTGCATGAAATATCATGACAAGCGAATTGTTTGAACAAAACATTGCCGGCGCAAACGAAGACCGAAATATTTCGTGAAGAGGCAAATTAAATATTTTATCATTAAGGTAAAAATCGTGCGCAAATAAAAATCCGTTATTTTGTAAGTGTATAATGAACTCATTACTCTATCTATTATTGTTATGGGAAAAATTATAATGTAATAAAAACAGTTCAAAGTAAATGACACATCAGCTTTATATCCTATAAGGCGTAAATAAATTAGTTCTATGCCACGTAAAGGATTGTGATATATGAAACTGTGGTTAGTGGAACAATGAGCTCATTAATAATTCCTAAATAATTACCTGTACAAATTGAATCTCTCAGCAGACGGAATATTCTCTTTCACAAGCTTCTCAGTGACATCATTACTAGCAGTTGCGTGATATGACAAGCATTCAAGTGCTACTTTTTGCTTGGCCATTAATTTACAAGCGTTCTCGTACATTTGAGTATTGTGAATACCCAAACCACAAAATATGGCAAAGGCTTCAAATAGAGATACATCACAGTCAGTAAAAGGTGCCCCGTTTTCTTTATTAATTAATTGTGCTACACCTGAAAGAAAAGTATTTTGAAAATATCCTTAATCTCCTCACCATGTTTATTTAATCATGCTTATTTGTCACAGTGTTTCGTTAAATTGAAAGAAATCGTTTGCTTGCCCTTGTCATGCAGCTTGAGAAAATTCATAGTGCACTCTAAAGGCTACTCCGAAATTTGTCCATTTTAAATGCTCCGGCCTGCTAACATATGACAAGTAGGCAAATTTTTCAACTTAGGTTTTGCATGTAAGTATAGCTTAATTTCAAGATGCGGTTAAGTCGAATGGTCGCGCGACTGTTTGAGAAAGAGAAAATTGTATTTCTGTTCGACACAGTCAACAATGCGTCGGTTCGCACAGGAAACACAAAGCAGTCAGAGCGTTTTTGATTGGTGCTAATCGCCAACAACCAGTTTTCCGACTATTTACAACCAATGAAATTCGCTCTGACTTGTTTGTGATTTCTGTGAGAACAGACCTAATAGGTATGATTCTGACAGAAATCTCACAGGCAAAGAGAAAATTACGAATGAATTTTAGTAAGATTAATTTCCTCTGTTTAATCAGGAAGATCGCTATAAGATCTAGAAAAGACCAACAACATATTGGAAGTTAGAAACCATTAATTGGAATTGGAGGTTTAATGTAAGATATGAATTAGAAACTGTTGCGGTTGCAATGGTGAGTGTAAAACTGCACACTTCTAAAGAAAATAGTACATGAAGGTGATATAATCTTACGAAAACTCTTTACCACCTTGCTAAAGTATATTTTTAAGAAAATGAGTCCAAACCCAAATTGTATAATATCATGCTCATGGCCAATAGCCTATAGAAAAAACAATTAAGAAGATGAGAATACCATATGTCAGAAATTGATCTGAAAATAAACTTTTCATAGTCCAAAATCGGCGGAAAATTCGCACATCACACAAACCACTGCCTATGTGCACATAAATCACAGATATAAGTAAAGAAGTAGATGGTACATTACTGCAAGCTAGAGGGTACATTACCTATAAGATTCCTTTGTCCATTTATTATTGGCATACAAAGTATTGTCGTTGCAGTTTCCGCATCTCCTTCGCTATGTTTTTCACACAGCCACGCTCCCACATCACCAATATTCAATATTTGTCCTGTAGAAGCAGCGTACCCAGCTATCTGAGCTAGAGTGGAACCAGCTAGATCAAATGAGGAAGGCCTACAGTTTAAATAGACATTGAACACATTTTTAAGTTCAACCTTACTTTTTACAAACCTTGACACTAAAGTTTTGTTTCCACCTTCCCTCAATTCGAAAATCGTAGTGAAGGGACTTGGCTTTTCAAAAAAATTGTTTATCATGTCCTGTCCAGTTACAGAACCACTGATCATCCGATTTAACGGCCCATGTCTTTGAACTGCTCTCCCTGGTCTTTCCACAATACGTTCTAGATGATTCTGCTTTAGAAATAGAAAATGAAATTTATCTTAATTAGTTAGTTGAAGATAAATAAGGCACTAAGATGCTTCTATTTTGCTAATTACGGGACGTTTTCCGAAATGTCATTAATTGAATTATATAAATTAACTGTAATGAGAGACTATTAAGCAAATGAAGATAGGAATGATAGGATTAATTTCTATAGAGACAAATCTCGTGAGTCGTCAATTTGAGTTAGGTAATTGGGGAACAATGCATTAAATGATGGTGAGGATGGAGAAAAACTCGCTCTAGTATTCAAAAATATGATTGATGTGCCCTTACATATATCCTAGGGTTTCTAAGGCCACATCTCTTGGTTGGTTAGAACCCTCGAGTTTTTAAATGTGTTTGAGTTGTTTTAATAGATAGAGGGGCTTTTCCAAATAGAGAGATCGACACTGGATGCAGATGCAGCAGTCTCAGAGGTTTCTCAAATGGAGATGCCGGTACTGGGAAGTTTTGAATCCAGACATCCTTTGTCAAGTAGAAGTACCAGCACTGGTTCAAGTCTAATTTGTAATTTGTCGCGATCAACCATCTATAGGTATGCATTTATTGTTGAGTAGCCAAGCAATACCAGTTCGACTCGCCAATGGGTAAATAAGCTTAAGTAAGTGGCCATCCTTTCCTGACCAGCTAGTAGTGTAGGCAAATAAGACACAAATTTGGCCGAACCTGGACATTTGAAATAACAAGCTGAAAATTGGTAAAAATTTTACTGATAATGTCTTCACTGAAATCCCAAAATTCCCAAAAAATCTGAAGAAAATCCGCTATCTGGGAAAAACTGGCCCCATATAGGAGTATTCGAATTTTAAGCCTAGCGAGTGAACCGAGCGTCCGATTTAATTTATTTTGGTCAAATTTACGGGAAAATGCCTGAGCCCTTTTTTTGTCTATTTCTGTCTGCTTTCTTTTTGTCTTTTGTTTTTGATCTTTACTTGCTCATGTGTTTCTTTATTTATTGTTGTCCTCTGTTTCATTTTCTTCTCTAGCACTTTGTGTGTCTTTGCTAATCGTCTGTGGTTGTGTCCCATTTGTTTATTTTTGTCACTTGTTTGTCGTATGTTGCTGTCTCAGATATATCTCTAGGTCGCCATTCTCCAATCTTATTCAACATTGGATTTGCCTAGGATGGTCCAGGCTGCATACTTTCTTGACGTGTTGCGCGTCTTCTGTCGCATTCTGATTGCACGTGCATTCCCGTAGGATTCTTTCAGGTTGAAACTTAGGATGTACTGTTTAAATTTAACAGTTAAAGTTAACAGTTCTGTAGCTTTGAAAGTAAGCTAAAGCATGTCAGTCCATCCCTACTTCTTGGCAGTGTTTGTACAACTATCTGCCCTTATCTTTCTCATCCCATGTCATTTGCCATTGTGTTGTAATTTTGTGCTCTCGTTCCTTCTTTATTGCATCTCTGTCTGTGTGTAGATAGGTCTGCAGGTCTGTTTCAGGACTTAGGTAATCTTGGCCAGCCTGTCTTCTGCTTTGTTCCCCGGTATATTTTCATTGAGGGCAAATTCTTCCATATAAATCTAACCTTTTTTTCTTGTTGTAGGGTCTCTTCCGCTAGCTTCCATACATGCGCAGTCAGCTTGTCTTTTATATTATGTTTCATAATTTGCTATATCGTTTGTACTCTGACAGTTAACCATGGTCAATCCTTCAAAGTCTGTCATCATTTCTGCTCTGTCTCTGTTTGTGTTGTCTGGTACTCTCTTTGTGCGCTGTTCTATTCTGTTCCCAATTGCAATATGTACGCCAGTGCCCGTTCTTCCCTCTTGATCTGTACTGGCGTCTACGTGCCAGTTCTCCGCCACTTGGTTTGAAGCCTGCCCCTTGTCGTAAGGCTCGGATTGTCTTTTGGTCTTAGCCTTTTGGTCTGTCTATTTGTGTGGAGATCGATCCAGTCTCGCTTTCCGTCCTTTGCCTAGAGCCAGAACGATGGGACACCAGCAATGACTCGTAGCGTGCAGTTTGCGGTCGTGGCATATGCGCTGTTCGTCATTTAAAGCAAACATCTTATCCGAGCTGCTGCGTCCATATGTCTTTATCGTCATGGTCAGCTTTACCAATTTGATTCTAGTGGAATGTAGTTCCTCTGTCTGTCGAAAGTGAGTCTCAGGTATTTCAGATATTCTTTTGTTCTCGATCTTTATCCTGGGTTCACTTGTGTCTTTATGTCTGGGTATAAATATTATGTTTTATCTTGATTGTATTTGATATCGCTAGCCTTCTCTCATGCCTTCCACGCTTTCCAGACGGCTTTCCACTTGCGTTCAATATCGCCAAGGGAGCCTGCTATAACTAGAAATTGGTTGCCTGCGTATATGCTTGCGTGTCAACTAGTCTCTCGTTGCTAATTCTTTGCCACTCCTCGTTTGCGGCGCCCTTGCTCCTGAACCAGCCCTGCATGACTACTGTCCAAAGCGTTGGTTCTAAGCTAGAACCTCTGCGATCAGCCTCTTATTGTCATTGTCCTGGTTATTGATCCCGCTTTCATATGTATGTCTTCCATGAAGTCCTCGCAGATGCGTCCTAGGTTGCCTGGTGTGCCTGCGATTTCCAGTTCCTCGCTCACATTTGGCCCTAATGCCGATTTGAAAGCATTTTTGAGATCTAGGCCCACAAGCAGCTGATGTGAGTCCTCCTTCCTATTTTTGTCTATAGTCCTGGTTAACTGGTCAACCACTTCAACCGTTCCCGTCCCTTCTCTGAAGCCTTACTGTCTTTGATTTATATTGCCCGTTCTCTCCAGGTGACGCTGTTGTCTTTTGTTGGGAAATATACTAGACAGAATGTCTAGTATCTTTCCCAATATTGGCCTTATATCTGTATTTCACGCCTTGTGTGTTTTTTCGATTATAGCATTTAGATAAATATCATTCTTTCTCGAGCAAGAAAATTGTTCTATATTTATTAATTTTAGTATTTCGGCAGCCTAAATGAGGTAATTTGGCGCAAAAACGAATATAATCTGATGATCGGTTCAGTCGCCATGCTTAAAACGCGACAAATCCAAGATTGCTGTATTTTTTCAAAATGGTCGATTTTCCCCAAGATAATTTTTTGGGAATTTTGGGATATCAATCAGAACATTTTCACCAATATTTAGCTTCTTATTTCAAATTTCCGGGTCAATCTTTAATTTTCCTGCACTATAGTTAAAAATATAATAGTTTAAGATATTTTCCAGACCTTGCTATTTCAGATTTTCGAATTTCTTCGAGCGTAGTTATTAGGCTGTTAATCTCTCTGCCTTGTCTGTATAGCTAGATGTACGACGATAGCTGCGAAAGCATTTACCGAGATTGATTATTCGATTTAAATCAAATACGTGGGAGCATTTGTTAAATAGACTTTGGGGTGTAATAATTGAATGTTAACTTCAGTCTTTAGGCCACAATCTCCAAGTTATTTCTCTTTTTCCGTCATAAACTACGAAATACCGACAATGTATCATGATGTCCTTTAGTAAAGGTAAGAGTCATAACGTCACGACCTCCTGCTGTAAAGTTCACGCTCCGTTGAGTAGGATAAGAGACAAGGGGTTTCCCTACGTTTCCAAGCCATTATTAATGACAATGCAATTAGTGAAAATAAATTAATCTATTATTTTATCATAAAATCTCAATCAAAAATTGCATTTATCTTATGACAAGATCCCACGTAAATGTCATTCTATTATATTTTCACCCTTTTTATATCGCTCTACGACATCATTTTCATCATTCACATACGATAAAAATGGTTAATTTTCTAACAACTGCTCGGCGTTCTTACTGTTGCGGTTTCCTTAAAATCTTATCCCTAGAGGTACTTTTTTTGACGATTTTCTGGTAGTAGTTTTTCTTCTTTCCTGGCTAAACTGGTGTGAGGCCCAGCTTAAGTTGTCGCAAAAGCTCTATCCATGGTACCTCGACATTCGCAAATCAATACATTGTTGCCTGGTTGGAAATTCAAATGTTTAGATTTCTGTGTTAAATCTCTTTTGGTTCTGAAAAGGTTGCCCTAATGGTTCAAGCAATAATACACTGAGAGCCTAACTTGAACATTTGTTGCTCATATATTGAGTGAAACTTTAGCAAAATCTCAATCTCTTCCCATAGTTATCAAACAAATTAATAACTTTTCAGTAAAAGGTTTCTCCTTTACATTAATACTAGATTAACCCTCTGATAATTTATAGGCGGTTTTTTCAACAACTCTTCTAAAAAGTAAATCCTTTCTGAAGTTTTAAACTGTCGATCAATCTGGGATAATAATATACTAAGGATAACCTCATGTGCCAATACAATTTGAAGAATTTGAATTATCACTGTCATTTCGAAAGAATTTCTGGAATAACGAAACAACCTTGTTCCTATTATAACAACTAGTGCTTCCGCACAGGCGGCTTAAAAGAAGTCAAGATGGCCCTGGCTTTCTTGGGGTCAGGCTTTTTAATAAGCTGCCCTCTCATGTTAGGGAGATGCCACCCACTACTTTTAGAAGGGTTGTCAAAGATTTTCTTCTTAGTAAGGGATTTTATAGTGTTAGTGAATTTTTTAATTGTAATGTTGTCCTTTGAAAATGTGATGTATTTTATAGTACCTGACTTGTTTGTTTTTTAAATTGTGAAAGATTAGGATTAAGTTTTATAGATACATTTTTTAGAATCTTTATACATATAATGAATAGTGCTTTTTTTACTCTATTTTTTTATTACATTTTTGACGTGTGTAAGTACTCAGTATAATAACATGAATAAAGAATTTTAATTTGAATTTTTTTTTTGGAAGATCTTATTATGTAAAAGATCACGACCTGCCATGGTCACAGTCACAGTGGCGGATTTACCCATACGCTAAATACGCTGCAGCGTATGGCCCCGGGCAGCCTGGGGCCCCGCAGGGGCCCTCCCTACATTTCAGGAATATAGGTACTCCAAATTCCAGATTTATAAAAAAATATGTTAAAATAATTAAAATCTGGAAAA